TTGCACAGTCAAAGCTTTTATAATCTATACCTTTAGTAACAAGTGCCAAAATTCCATTTGCCACCTGCTGTACCTGCATTCTTGTTTTCTCTAATTCCAGCACCAAAGCATTCTGAAGTTTCTTTCCATTTAGGCAATAAGTTGCTTTTCTAGTCCTCTGACCAAAATAGATAACCTCACTCTTATCCACGTTAAACCCCAACTGCCACATTTTGGCCCATTCACCTAACCTATACATATCCATTTGTACATTTCTTTATTACAACTTACTTTCCCACCTGTTTTAGTGTTAGCTGTACATTTAGCTCCACACTTTCTATCCCTGCAACCAATTCATTACTATACATTGCAAAGAGCTGGGGCCTGAGGGCTGAGCCCTGTGGCACCCCATTAGTTACATTTGTTGATTAGCTAGTCCTCTATCCAAGATTATAAATTACTTCTAACCCCATGTAATTTTACCTTGTGTTTTAACCTTTTGTGTGGCATCCTATCAAATGCCTTCTGAAGGTCCAGATAGTCTATCTGCAGAATCTCCATTATCCACCTTGCTTGTTATGTCTCCGAAGCACACTAGCAAGTTAGCGAAATATGCTTTACTCTTCATAAATCCATGCTGACACTGATGGATCGTGTTTTGACTTTCCACGTGTCCTGTTATAACTTCCTTAGAATCCATTATTAGCAGTTTCCCAGTGACACACTAAACTAATTGGTCTATGGTTTCCTATTTTCTGCCTCCCTCTCTCTTTGAATGAGGGTATTACATTACCATTATTCCAAACCACTCGAACTTTTCCCATATCCATGTTATTAGCAAAGGATCCACTATCTCTGCTGCCACTTCCTTAGAGAACCTAGGATGTAGGCCATTGGGCCCTGAGGACTTGTCGACTTTCAAGCTCAATTGTTTGCTCAGTACTTTTGTCCCTAATGGACGTGATTAGTTTAAGTTCCTGCCTTCCTATAATCTTTGCATTACCTGTTCCTATTGGGATGATCTAGTGTCTTCCACCATGAAAAATGAAGCAAGGTATTGATTTTTGTGACTCTGCCATCCCCACTGTTAACTCCCCAGTCTCATCCTCCAAGGGATCAACATTCACTTGAACTATTCCCTTCCCTTTTGTTTGTCTACTGCTATGCGTTTTTACATTTTGCACTAGTTGAATAGATTGAATGACCTCCTTTTGCACTGAAACAATTTTGATGTTCTTAGGACCATACAATACAGAAGAGGCCCTTTGGCCCACTGAGTCTGTACTGACAAAAATACAGTAGTCCCACTGTCTGGCACTAGGCCCATAGACTTGAATGTTATGGCACTTCAAGTGCACATTCAAGTACATTTTTAAAGGTTTTGATATTAGCCAGCTTCAAATACATAGTCTTCATCCCACAGTCCAGAAATAGAGAAAAGGCAAAATAAAAGATGTAGTTTCCCTAGGGACAACAAATATAGTACATACCAGTAAT